GGGGTGGGCGAGCCCCCTCCCGTGGTGTGCACATGGCTGCGCCCCGCCCCGCGCATGGGCGTAGCGGCCCCGCCCGCTCAGTTCCGGGTGCCCCGCCCCCCGCTGAGCCCGGCACTCGGCGCCTCCCCTGGCCATTGGCGCCTGCGCACAAACCACGCGGCTGCCCGGGACCGGCCCATCTGCCGCGTTGTGGGGGGGGGGCTCTGGCACGCCCCCTTGCGGCCCCCTAATGCGCTGCCTCCTTGTGCTTTCAGATTCATGGACAAGAAGCTGTCACGTGAGTTATTTGTGTGCGCGCCTGGATTGGTTGTGAGCAGCCGTCACGCTGCCATTGGATGGGCTGGGAGCAGCACTGTACACGTGGGTTGTTTGCCAATGTGTGTGTGATAGGTATGACACACCACTAAACAGACATGGTATTCTTAGTTAATGCGCTGCCTCCTTGTGCTTTCAGATTCATGGACAAGAAGCTGTCACGTGAGTTATTTGTGTGCGCGCCTGGATTGGTTGTGAGCAGCCGTCACGCTGCCATTGGATGGGCTGGGAGCAGCACTGTACACGTGGGTTGTTTGCCAATGTGTGTGTGATAGGTATGACACACCACTAAACAGACATGGTATTCTTAGTATTGAAACAATACACGGTGGCGACGGCTAGACTGGCAGGATTTTCCGCAAATGCCTTTAACGGAAAAGTTTTCCGTTAAAATCATTTGTGGAAAAGAGCGTCTAGATTGGCACAGACGCTTTTCCGCAAAAGCACTTTTTGCGCAAAAGCATCCGTGGCCAATGTAGACGCGCTTTTGCGCAAAAGAGCCCCGATTGCCATTTTCGCAATCAGGGCTTTTTTGCGCATAACAAATCTGAGCTGTCTACACTGGTCCTTTTGCGCAAAAGGACTTTTGCCCGCATGGGAGCAGCATAGTATTTCCACAAAAAGCACCGATTTCTTACATGAGATCGTCAGTGTTCTTGTGGAAATTCAAGCAGCCAGTGTAGACAGCTGGCAAGTTTTTCCACAAAAGCAGCTGCTTTTGCGGAAAAACTTGCCAGTCTAGACACAGCCATTATATCTAGTAATAGAGATGTAGCTTGCTGAAACAAAAGACAGGACTATGCAGCAAGAAAATTGGCATGACCATATGTACCAAAGGGATACAATCCAAAAAAGTGCACGCACATAAAATTGACAAATCTGATTTTAGAACAGAGGGCGGGTGAGGGAGGGAGGTTAGTGTCTATGAGATAATGATATTAAAATCTGATTTGTCAATTTTATATGTGTTCACTTTTTTCGATTGTATCCCTTTGGTATATATGGTCATGCCAATTTTCTTCCACAATTTGATCTGAGGAAGTGGGTCTGGCCCCACGAAAGCTCATCACCTAATAAACCATCTTGTTAGTCTTTAAAGTGCTGTATAGTCCTGTCTTTTGTTTCACATTATATCTGTGGATGTTGGGAGGTTAACTGAATCAAAGATGGTTCTCCCACAATGCCATTTACCCCATCAGGTATCCCCCAACACTTTGCACCATTGAGATCAGCTTTGTCATTAGAAAATAGAAAAGATTCAAAGGCAAAATATATTGAGCTGCCTAGGAATGGTAAAATGTGGGTAATTGTGTAACCCCTGAAAAAATTCAGTGGTTATACCCACCCACAACAGCAGTTGGCTCCCTGTGGAACTGACTGCCGCCTCTGTGCTAATAGAAAGGCAGCAGCGCAGGTTGGCAGCCAGCTCCCCAAGAGTAAGGGTGGGGGGCTTGCATGTAACCGTGAATGTTAACCAATAAGCTCAGGCTTATCTGTTAACTGCTTACACAGTTACACCTTCACATCCCTAGTATTGCACTGGTAGTGGTTCTTCATGTACCAGTATTTAGAATGCTGGTATCCAAAATAAAGATGAAGGTGCAGAACAATACGTTAAGGAACTGGTACCTGCTAGTGTGTTGGATTTTAAGCCAGGTCTACACTAGACCTGACTGCTCGGTTTAAGGTACGCAACTCCTGCTACGTAGACTACGTAGCTGGAGTCGGCTTAGCAGCGTCCCAAGTAGCGGGAGGCCAACAGAAGCAAAGGAGGAATACCGGATGCTGGCAGGGACACCCTCTGCTTGATTTAGCAAGTCTTAAAGACTTGCTAAATTGAACTCCAGAAGGTCGATCATGGCAGCAGTCATCTTCCTTTTAATAATGACTCAATGATAAACATAAAGTTTTGTCACTTGTGAAGTCATGTTATAAATAATGGTAGTTGAAATGTGTATCTTTGGAGCACATTTTCTGTATAAAGTGCTGCAAGATTTTTGCTTCCCACAAGAAGGATGTTTTGTCTTTAGACAAGATCTTTGGCTAATATTTCTTGAAAGATTTTAAGACAAAAATGGGTGGGAGAGTAGTCAAAAAATTGGGGTCCACCTGAAATGCTGCTGTGTTATTTTTGGTGGTGTTTTCCAATGCAGTTTTAATAGAATTGTGCATCTGAGTGTACAGTAGGAAAGAATTATCATGGAGCTGAATAATGTGTTTGGGGCCATGATAGGTGGCTGTTGAGTTGCTGTGTTTATCTCTGTTGATTAAAGTAATACACGAATGACAAAAATGGGATTGCAGTGCTCCAAAACATGCAGATATCATTGGTTTCTGATCTCCAGTGATGACAACTATGCCGTTACTTTTGTTTACGGTCTCGAAAGTGGCTGCATACGTAAATACATTTATATGATTTTACATACGCATTTATGACAAGAATGACTAAAAGTATTGTGTAGATCTTCAGTCTCCTTCAGTAATAAGAAATATGGTCTTGTCCAAATGACTGTATCTCTACAAATTCTTGTCATAACTAATGTATTATTCAGGTTGTATTGTGGTAAGGCCTAAGGACCCCAATAATAGGCTGGGATCCCGCTTTAAGCATTGTACAGACCTATTATACAAATATTTCTGAATAAGATGTTCTGGAAGGGGTTACAGAGCAGGGAAATCAGTGGTCAGCAGCACACTAACTGCCTGACTACTACAAAATGTTAATCTTCAACTCCTGCATGTTGAAGATTATAATATGAGACATTGTCGGCCCACATTCTTCTAATATTGACTATCTAGACTTCCCCATTATAACACTGCCTTTTTTTGTGATATGAAGCCTGTGGTATGGGGAATCCTAATTCCAATAATAAACTGTGGTCCTTTAACATGCAGTATGATGAAATAGTATTTCAAATAGGGATGTAAAATCCTGCTTAATTAGTTAACTAGTTAAACATTAGGTTGACCTAATATTTATCCAGTTAACTGACAAAAGCAGGATCTGGGCTGGAGCAGTCCCCAGCCTTATGCTGGGGCTACTGCTGGCTCCCAGACCCTGCTGGAACAGCCCCCGCCTCCTGCAGATGGGGAGCTGCTCCAGCCCCCACCCATTACTGATTTACTGGAACTGGTAAGCATCACTTGCTAAGGCTTGCTGTAGATGGGTGTTGGTTTAACTAATTAAATGGGATTTTACATTCCATTTCAAAACATCCCAGCCCCCTCCACCTCCAAAAATGGTTCTTAAGTTCCCATCTCAAAGGTAACACTTTATGATCAAGATAGTTAAGAACTACCACTGCATGTGTGTAATTTTTTTTTATTTACCAAATATCTATTTCTAGTGAAGTTAAACGGTGGCCGACATGTCCAAGGGATATTGCGAGGGTTTGACCCTTTCATGAATCTAGTGATAGATGAGTGTGTGGAGATGGCACAAGGTGGACAACAGAACAATATAGGGATGGTGGTAAGTAGAGATTTTTCACCCCATTGGATGATGTGGGTTGAAACATTTTTAGAGGGAGGATTTTTATTTTAGACTCTTTGAAGAATCTTTATTTTAGACTCTTCCCCCCCCTGCTGCCAATAATCCTAATGTCCTGATGAGCACTTATTTTCCAGCAAATGTCTGAACCAGGCGAATTCTAGGAAACTAGATAGTCCACACCATGCCTGTCACTGAATAATACCTGGGTGATTTATGGGTCAAAATTAATTGCTGTTCATCTTTCCAGAAGAGGTAGAGAAATATATCTGCTGTAGCTGGTTTTCTGTTTGGTTGGGGGTTTTTTTGGTGGGCTTACATATTCCTGATCTTTGTCACATCTCTAGTTCTGCTAAATCTCATTGATTGCTATAGAATTCTTATTTTATATTCTGTGTTTTTAGGTAATACGAGGAAACAGCATCATCATGTTAGAAGCTTTGGAACGAGTATAGCTTAATCAGTGAATTCCTGCCTAATGCTGTGATAAACCTTTTTTAACTCCAGCTATCTTAACTAATGAAGACCTTTTCTAGGAACTGTACCTTCCTTGTGTAAACTTATTTTTGTTAAATAAATTTTGCAATGGTTAACGTAACTTGAGTAAATTTAGCTTCCTCTTAAAATTGGTGCCCGTTGTATGGTGAAATATCTTGTGCATATTCCAGAACGTCTTAGCTAAGGAGCGTAATAGAAGGAACAGAGATGTGTGTTTTACATTACTGTAGTAACACAATAGGTGAGCATTTACCTTTATGTAACCAGTCTGTTAATACATAAGCTTTCGGGTCAGTGTGACAAGAGATGTTTTATCCTTCTCCTCCGTCCTTTCAAGTGAAAAATGTCTGGGAATAGGTCTTCAGTTGTCATGGCAGAAAAGGGCCAGAATCATTAACCTTTTCCTGCAGTGTCAGTAGTAGCACTGAATTTCAACTTACCTCTTTCCCATTCCTTTTTAGCCTATTTTTAAATGTCTTTAGGGAGAAAGGTACTGAATTACTAATCTTTTTCCTTAACTAGGGTGTGCAGCAGGCTAGTCTACCAGTATCTGACCAGATCAAAAACACTAAATATGGTTTGACTTGTGCAGTGATCAGAGTAATAAAACTACTGTATTGTGATGTTTCTGGTGTTCAAACTATTGCAAATGGTTCTGATAGACTAAACAGCAGTATTTTCCTGTAGCGAACTCAACACAGCAAAGGGTTCCTAAATATTTTTAATAAACTTAACACTGATTATAATTTCTCAAACAAGACTCATGCCACCATTTCAAAAAACATTTATCATGATTTCAGCCTTGCTATTGTCTGCACTGGCAAATGTATACAAGAGACAAACTCCTGCACACTGTGTGGTTTCCTCCTCATGCTGAACTAATGTGTTTATAGTAGAGTTATAGCAACAGATAATCTGGCCTCTAGACATGAGATTCACATTTCAGTTTTATTACTGTGGTGCAAAACTTCTTTAACAATGAAATCCTTAAAGATGCAAGGGTCTGGCTAAAACATTTGCCCACCCTTTGCTTTATAAATAGTTGCACCTATTTAATTACACAAAAATAGCTGCCTTTTACCTGAATAACTTTTTGTTTACTGCTATTGGAAATGAGCTTAAAAACGCTGAAAAAAGAGTATGCCAGTCCTACTAACCAGCATGAACATAAATAGTGAAACTGTTTGTAGGGAGACTTGAGACTCTTCTCTGGTATGAAGGCAAAAGGTTCGGTGGCTATATACTTTTCTCCATAGATGATTAGAAGGCACAGACATATGATCCATGGATGCAAAAATAATGGCCTAGGCCTACTATGAAGAGTAGCAAGGGTGCCCAGACTTCCTCCACTCCTTAAAAGATGATCAAGCTCCTGATGCAGCTTGCTTCTCAATATGACTCTGGTCACTTGTTTCAGAGGACATTACAATATATTAGGATTACCTTAAACATAGAACATTCAGTTGGAAGGTTGCTCAAATCACATTAGGGAAAGGTCTTTACCTTATGCTGCTAGTAACACTGCAGCTTAGTAAAAATGAGTTTAAAAAGTGAGCAATACATGGGCCATAGGTTGTCCTGTGACTAGACCCATTGGCTTCTCCTTCATAAGTGTTTACAAGCTCAGGACCTTAGTCAGTTTTAGGTTATCAGGAACAATTAATGTCTGAAGAACTGGTATTAGATTTTTTTTCCAATAAGGACAAACAAAATATTTCCATGAAGGTTGATTTTACAAAGTAGCACAGCCCCGAATTAAAAACCACTTTTTTTTTAAACAAAAATTCTGTTCAGATAAAGCACCTCTAAAGGAGGTTGGGAGCTTCTTTTTCCTTACTGATGTTTTTTCAAGACATCACCTGAGAATAAGTGAAGTACTACCAAAAGGCATGAACTGCAAACAAAATACTTTCTGGTTAGACAATTTATGCTGAGTTTTGAGTATCTCTCTTTAAGCTACTTAAGGACTTCAGCTCGCTAATAAGTTAAAGCAACCTGATTTTGAAAAACTGTCCACTGAAAACTATGTATGTCTACAACCATTGCATAACTTATCTGGAACTCTGGTATTTAAAACAAATAAGATTTGTCTGTGAAAGCTGTAAAGCTATCGAGCATTAAAAACATTTAAATTTGCCTCACTTGTAAAAATATGGCTCTAGCCCCCCGTCCTACAACCAAAACAGTTTACACAAGGTGTGCAATCAAAAGAAATGAAACCTCACTTGAAATTTATGAAGTAAACTCCCAAAAGTATTCAAGTCTCCCTTTCAGGTGCTTGGTCAGTATGGGTGGGTATTTTTTTCTGGTCTCCCTGTATTCATTTATCTGAAAAACATCCTTTAAAATAAATTGCCTATTGAGGCACTATTGTATTCTTTACTACGATTGTCAAAAAAGGTTAAGTTTCAAAGGATGAATTGCTTTTGCAAGAGGAATACCTGGATAGCTTGGCACTGCATGGAAAATGTCTGGGTGGCAGAAACATTGAATAAGCAAAATAAAAAAAGCAATTGCAGTTCTTTGTGATCCTGTGAGCCTTTTTCAGAGCTGTATATTAATCTCATCTGGGAAGAGGCCACATTTGCTGTTGTCCAAATTTTATTCAGGTTCTGTACTGCAGAAACTAACACTACAGCTTTGGCTGCTAAAGTAAAAATAAAAGGAGGTGGATAAAAAAATAAGTATAATTACAGAAAATGCACTCATATTAGTCCACACTTTAACTAAATACCCCCTACCCCCAACTTTAAAACCAGTTAAACTTAGTTTTCTTAAAGGTGCAAAGTCTAATCTAATAGAGGAGCTTTCGAACCCTGTCAGGTGCAAAGGCATTAACTCATTCTGCTCACATAAGACAAGCAATTGTTTAAAATGGAAATCTGATATTCAGAAACCATGGAATTTGTACTGGATTAACAGGGGTTAGCAACTGGAAATGAGGTGAGCCAATGTGACCAGTCAGCTTCCTATAGGCTGCTTTCACAATTTGATTTTGTCCATTTTTAAAATAAAATTAATGCATTACACCTGGCTCCACATCCTCCTGCCCTTTTCCAACATGTAATTGTTTTCTCCCTCCCTCACTGCTGTGTAAAACCCTGATATGAACTACTGGAGACACACAGTTCTTCCTCCTGCATCAATTTACCCACACGCTTACATGTCTGCAAGAGCAGGGCTTAAGTGATGATCTATAAAGAGGTCCTGATTCAGAAATTTAGGACTGCACTTAAGTACATACTGTACTTTAAATACATGCTTAAGTACTTATCCTGACTAGGAATGGGCATGAGCACGTGCTTCAGTGCTTTCCTAAACTGGGATCAGAATACACAGGGGGAAGGAGCAATGTAAAAACCCTAAACATCACTGGAATATTTCCATCTTTGCTAGTGCAATAGGTGCCCCAGGGCAAAGGGGGGAGGAGGAAGGCTGGCTCCACCTCCCAGACTGTGGTACCCTCTCTCGGCCAATTCTCAGAGCCACGGCAATTCAAAGAGGCCTGGGGCTCTATCTGCTGCCACAGCTCTGGGCCCCTTTGAATCTCAGCCCCAGGGAATTGCTGTCTTGTGCCTCCACCCCCCTGGCTCCAGTTAGGAGGCCTGGTAATACTTGTGGTTACTGAAACAGGTTGAGGAAAAAATATTTCCATATATTCATTTTAACTGTGAAGTGGGCAAGAAAGATGTAGTATTTGATCGATACCATCGTACATTTCTTCTGCACATCACTTGACCATCTAGACTCTCACCAGTCCAGGGCTCTGCAGCTCCTCCCTGGGTAAAACTCACAGCTCTGTTTTGAGTTTCTCATTTAAATCCTCCTGGTCAATCATGTCTGCATTTCTGTACCAGCGATGGTATGAAAGAAGAGCTGCATTTTTGGCTGCTATCGCGCTCATCTCCATGGCACTTGCTGCCCATTCTATGCCGTTAAGGTAGTATATCCTATCATGGAGGATTACAGGTGGGCAGTTCTTGGGGATGCTGTAATGTGGGTAAGCCAGCCACTTCTTCTCCTTCACAGAATCATAGGCTGAGAAAAGCAAATTCAGCTGCTCCTTGGTGACAGGTTCTTTTGAAAACACTTTCCAAACAGCCTCTCCCATGGGTTGCTTCGCTTCCTCTGGTTTATTTTGGACGGGGGACACAATTCCTAAGCTGTTGATAAATAGTTTGGGATTTTCTGTTGTGAAAATATCAGCCAAGCTAAAGTAGGATGACTCCTTGTAGCCGAAGAAGGATGCATTTAGGCGCCCATGCACAAAAGTTGCCACCGTCTGATGGTAGTTGTTTGAGAACTCTGGAATGGGAGGGTTAAAGTTCCGGAAAGTGATGTTGGCCATTTTACGATTCAGTGGTGTGGCAACAAGAACTATATCATACAGGTCTGACGCTGACCCTGATGTAGAGTTGTAGCTCACTTCATACAGCTTAACTGTACCTCCTGCAAAAAGTAAATGTAGAATCTTCCTGGTAATAAGGCATGAGTGGAATTTTTTTACTAATGCTTTTGTAAACTAGAATATTTTTGGAAGATGGAAAGAGCAGGGAGGGATTTTCTCTTATTGAAACAAGAACTTTTGCTTCATATGTTGCACTCTGGGACCTTTACTGAAAGAATTTAGAATACATTTTTCAGACTAGTACTTTCTGTGTGCACAACTGACCCCTTAAAAGGGGCCCCAAAATCAGATGGGTCCTATATATTAATAATCTGAAAACCAAATGTTCCCAAACTTTTGGCTCGTGAGATTAGCATCCAAATGTTTCACCATATGTTGATCTCCAGTTTTAAAGGTTTTGCTCTAAGCGCTCCTCACCTGTGTGTTTGGGCCGCGTTTTCTCCTCTACAGCGATAACTGTACCAGAGATAAGTTGTGCTTTGGAAGCATAAAGAAGGCCAGTGCAGACAAGTTTGTTGCCACCTTTTACTGACCAAAGCCCAGAATCTGTACCCGCCAAAGACACTGCACCTGCCAGGGAAGAGAAAGAAATTCCAAATAAAATGTTCTCACATCCCATTCGCTGAATTAGATGGGATTGGTCTTCACCCAGGGCTGGTATGCTTAAGTGGAATTAGAAAACTATAGGCCTGTAGAAACTGACACACAAATCTTGCTAAAATTAACTGCAAGTAGCTACTGAACACTTTGCTTTCCTAGCAGAATACCAAAGGCTACATCTACACTACGAGTTCTGCTGGAAGAGGCAATGCAAATGAAGCGCAGGTTAGCATTTTCTCCCGCTTCATTTGCATAATCTCTTCCAATCCCTTTTTGCGCAAAAACAAGCAGTGTGGACATCTCCTTTTTGGGCAAAAACCCCTTTTTGCACCAAATCCTTATGTCTCCTAACCCTAAGCCACACCCATGGAGCAAGCACCAGAAGAATGAAACTAGAGTTTCCACTATAACACAGCGAGGTCACAACACCCAGCTTTTTAATGCCAGTTTCATCTGGCGGCAGAAACAGAAATACAGCAACTTGGGAAAACAATTAAATGCTCACCTGCAAAACTACTAATGTTGACACCTTGCCCATAATTGACTCTCATGATTGGAGTAACCACCTCATAGATAAACTTCTGGGAGAAGCCAGCCTTCTGCATAGTCTCATCAAGGGTCCGATTCAACATTTGGATGAAGTCATTGCCCCCGAGTGCATGAAGCAAGCCCTCTATGCTGCTGAAGGAGTAGTCATGAGCCTGATAGCGGTAGATTCTTTATCCAAAAGGAGAAAGATACATCACTTCATGAAAGACCAATCTTGACTATACAAATGCGCACAGAACAACTGACTTGTGGTCACTGATTTACTGTAAATGAAAAACATTTCCGCCAGGAACAAAATTTCTAAGCACGCCAAGTTTTTCATTTTTCTCTGCAAAAGCCAATATAAAGAGGGGCCAGATCACTTTAGATATTGTCTCTGCTCCCTCCTGAGATCAGCTGTGGTGGTCTTGCCCGTTAGTCCTTGGGAGTGAGTGCTTGGAACGGGAGACAAGGGATTCTCAATGGAGTGCTTCCAGCAATGGGACCATGGGCACCAATTCCGTAGGTCCTCCGGGGCGGGAGTACCCAGGGGGGAAAAAGGTAGGCACTGGCAGTTCCCCATCAGCTTCCTCCTTCCTCCCTCCTAGAGCCTCTCGCAGGTCCTGCTGATCAGCGACTTCCTCTCCCTCCCTGTGCCCCCTGGCTGGCACAAATAGCTGTTTGGCAGTGTGCAGTGTGGGTGGAGGAGTGAGGGCCGGGCACCCAGAAGCTGCAGGAAATGCGGCATTGGGAAAAGGGGTGGTGTGGGGGCGGGGCTGAGGGTAGAGCCAGAGGTCAAGCGCTCTGGCACTCCGCCAAGTCAGCGCATGGGACCATTGGAAAAGGCCAAGGCTCATTTGCCAGCCAAACCATCCTGACACGTCTAACACCAACCTCTGCTGGGGCTTTTCATAACTTTTTGGAGTTCTCGCTGTGACGTAGTGGGGGTACCTGGCTGGTTTCTATGCTGCTGGCTCTGGGGTAACCCCCACTGGCTGTTGTCGGTACCGCGGCCCAGAAGGACGGGGATGAGTCACTATGCAAAGAGGGTCTCTCAACCTGTCTGACCAGTTACCCCCATGGAGAGAAACAAAGGAAGGTGGATGCCGCCCCTGGCTGGGGGGCAGGGCTGGAGGAGAGTTAGTTACTTTTCTGTCTGGGAAGCAGTGGAGAAGGAGCTGGGGAGAGGGGATGGGATTGAAGGGTCCAGCCACCCCCCATCTCAAGGGGGGCTGAGGCCTCTTAGCCCCAGTTCCTGTAACCAGATGACATCTGTGCTGTGCTATATCCTGGAGAAGCAATACACTCCCTCTATTCTACTGGCTGGTGGAGTCTGTTCGTGCCACTACAGGGGTGCAGGAGACGGGAAAACCCCAACGCGCCGTCACACTCGCCTAGTGGGTGGCTCCTTCTGCTCATGGCGGGCAGCTATAAATTAATGCCTATTTCTGTGGCTGATGCACCCAAATGCCAGCGTGATGGACACAGAACTAGGGATGTTAGATATCGGTTAGCGGAACAGCTGAGTAAGCACGACCGCAGGGGGAGCCAGTTGAAAAACAGCTGCCCGTGCAGACTGGCTGCCTGCCATCCCATGCTGCTGCCTCTGATACAGCGGCACCTTAAAGGGGAATCTCACAGGGATCTGTGCGAGGCCCATTTCTATTAAATCTACTATATATTTGAGAGAGTCTGTCTGTTTGTCCAAGAACTCCTAACCAGTCCTAAACAATAAGAGCTAAGACCACCAAATATCCAGGGGTCAGTATACACAGTATATATCCTTCTCTTAACTTAAAGCAAGGTAAGGGTTTTGTTATGCCAGGAAAATGGGATATACCTGGAATGGTATTGAGTCTCATTTAACCATATAGAAAAGCTGATGATGGGAGGAAACTGGCTTTTAAGCCAGCTCCCCACATCACCAGCTCCTGCTCGCCCGCCCTTGCTGCTGATACAGACGCAATGTGTGTGGGGGGGGATGCGAGTAGTCGAGAAGATTAACCAATAAGCCTAGGCTTATACTTGACTGCTCGTTTACATCTCTAAATAGAAGATGAGGACAAATTGTACCAAGGACTGATGATGGGAGGAAACTGGCTTTTAAGCCAGCTCCCCACATCACCAGCTCCTGCTCGCCCGCCCTTGCTGCTGATACAGACGCAATGTGTGTGGGGGGGGATGCGAGTAGTCGAGAAGATTAACCAATAAGCCTAGGCTTATACTTGACTGCTCGTTTACATCTCTAAATAGAAGATGAGGACAAATTGTACCAAGGATTCCTTTTGCACACAATGATATTGTGTTCTTGGATCTCCATTATTAACAGAAGAACAACAAGATAAGAACGGCCGTACTAGGTCAGACCAAAGGTCCATCTAGGCCTGTCTCCTGTCTGCCGACAGTGGCCAATACCAGATGCCCCAGGTATTCCTCACGTGATTCCTCTCCTGTCATCCACTTCCAGAGAAACAGAGGCCAGGGACACCATTCCAACCCATCCTGGCTAATAGCCAAAGATGGACCTAACCTCCATGAATCTATCTAGCTCTTTTTTGAACCCTGGTAATGTCCTAGCATTCACCATATCCTCTGGCAAGGAGTTCCACAGGTTGACTGTGTGCTGAGTGAAGAAAAACTTCCTTTTGTTTGCTTTAAACCAGCTGCCTATTAATTTCATTTGGTGACCCCTAGTTCTTATATTGTGGGAATAAGTAAATAACTTTTCCTTATTCACTTTTTCCCCACCAGTCATGATTTTACAGACCTCTATCATATCCCCCTTTAGTCTCCTCTTTTCTAAGCTGAAAAGTCCAAGTCTTTTTAATCTCTCTTCATATTGTTCCATGTATATGGGTTGGTTGCTGTGTTTGTCCTTATTGCTACAAAGTGATACTGTTTAAACACCAGTCCTCTTAATTAAAACAGTAAAAGGGCAGGCAACAATAACTACTTATAGGAATCACTCCATTTGGAACCAGAGGGAAAGAATCAATTCCAACGCAACAATCATAATTGTAGCCAACAGCAGTGCGACAAACCTCAGTGCTGCCTTGCCCTGTTTTTGAAGGACTGAATCCCAATGTATTTCAGCTAACCTTAATGAATCCCGTTTTCAGGCAGGATTTCTCTACAGCATGGGTTCCCAAACTGGGGGCTTGCCCCCTTGGGCGGTGAAGAAATTCTAGGGGGGGGGCATGAGGCAACCCAGCCACACACACCCCCGTCAATCCCACCCCAAGTTTTGCTGCTATTTTGGGGGGGGCGGGGCGTGAGGGTTTCTCAAAAATCAAAAAGGGGGGGATGCCAAAAAGTTTGGGAACCACTCTAGTGGGAGAATTAATGTAGTTCAGGCGTTACATGATTACCTCATAAACTTGTCCAGGATATCTTCCACCCACATGTTCATTCGCAGAGAGTTGAATCCATAATTCCAGAGAAGTTTCAGGACATTGATAATGTACCAGCTACTCTCCTCAAATACAAACTCATCTCCATTGTAAATGCCCATAAGGCTATCTTGGTTGTCAGGAACAGAGAGTCCTGCAAAGGGAAGAAATATCTGCCGTAAGCTAACAGGGCCTGCTGGCATTATTTAAAAAGGAACGGGTCTAGCTATTCCATGGTACTGCTTCAGGGTTCATGAAAGGTACATCAGTGCAAACAATGACAAGTGCAATCATTCTCATTTATTAGTTCAAACGGTCTCTGTTTTTATTATTTCCCTTTAAAAATCTTAGAAACAAAGCTGGCTCTGAACAAATTGAGTAGCACCTCACGGGTAGACTACACTATGGGACAAAGTCGAATTAAAATATGCAACTTCAGCGACGTTTATTGCGTAGCTGAAGTCGGAAGCAGCTTACCTCGGCTTTTGGTGCTGTTGACTTCCCTAACTCCTCGTGGAAGCAGGACTACCGGCATTGACCGGAGCGCCCCTCTCACTTTGAATTCGCTATCTTTACTAGCCCCACTAATTCAAACCCTGGAAGATCGACAGAGGCAGCCTCAATCTTCCTCTCTAGTGCGGATGTACCCCAAGAGTGCAGGAGTTCAAAATGGCTTCCTCTTATACCAGGACTAGAAGACTTACCCAGTGTTGCTCAGGTCCCTCAGGGCCAGGGGCTGGCAGAATGTGGGGTGCAGGAGTCAGGGAAGGGGGGTGGTTGTGGGGAGGAGGGGCTTGGGCAGAGGGTAAGGGTGCAGGAGTCAGGCAGGGGTCTAGGAAGTGGGGAGGGGCGCAAGGGAAGAGGTGCAAGAAGGTCTGGCTCACTGGGGCCACCTGCAGTAACAAGGATGGCACTTCAGCTACCAGCCCGGACCCGTTCCAAATCCCTAATCATTTTAGTTGCCCTTTTCTGAACCCTTTCCAAGGCCAAAATATCTTTTTTGAGGTGAGGAGACCACATCTGTACACAGTATTCAAGATGTGGGCGTACCATAGTTTTATACAGGGGCAGTAAGATATTCTGGGTCTTATTTTCTATCCCTTTCCTAATAATTCCTAGCATCCTATTTGCCTTTTTGACCGCTGCTGCACAGTGTGTGGAAGTTTTCAGAGAACTGTCCACGATAACTCCAAGATCTCTTTCCTGATTTGTCGTAGCCAAATTAGCCCCCATCATACTGTACGTATAGTTGGGGTTATTTTTCCCGATGTGCATTACTTTACACTTATCCACCTTAAATTTCATTTGCCATTTTGTTGCCCAATCACTCAGTTTGGTGAGATCTTCTTGGAGTCCCTCACAGTCTGCTTCTGTCTTGACTATCCTAAACAGTTTTGTATCATCTGCAAACTTTACCACCTCACTGCTTATCCCTTTCTCCAGATCATTTATGAATAAGTTGAAAGGGTTGGTCCCAGGACTGACCCTTGGGGGACACCACTAGTTACCCCTCTCCATTCTGAAAATTTACCATTTATTCCTACCCTTTGTTTCCTGTCTTTTAACACATCCCTAAAGTCAAGGAGAACAATTTTTCTCCCTCCTCCTTGTAACACTCTTTTAGATACTTGAAAACTATGATCATGCATGAAGTTACACATTGCCCGGTATGATTTTAAAAATACATGTAGCACCAAACTAGTCAAACAGCCTGGGACGGGGTGTGCATAACCTGCACTGAGATAGGAGGGGTTAAAACTCTGTGGGCAGAGGAAGTCCCGCCCCTCCACCCAGACTGGGCATGCTCCAAATGCCGGAGCAGTATAAGAGAGGGCAGCTCAGCTCAGTCTGGGCTGGATGCCGGAGGAGAAGGATCTCCTGCAGGTGCTCCGGAAACACTCCAGCCAGAGAGCCAGGAGACTGCCTAGAGCTGCCAGTGCTGGAGGAGCCCCAGGAAGAGGCTGATGTGATGGAACTGGAGGTCCCTGAGATCATGTGGAGCGTCTCCACACTGACTCTGCTAGGAAGTGACCCGGGGAGGGTGCGGGAGAGGTATCTCCCACTAGACTGAGCTCAGTGTGTTGCAGCTGGATTCCCCGCTGAGCGAGTGGTGGAGCACTCTGCCTCTCACAGGGCCCTGGCCCTAATATGTACCACATGAATATGTACCACATGATTTGTTTATTGGGCAAAGGGAAATGAAGCGGCGATTATTTAATCGCCGCTTCATTTAAATTTACATGGCTGCCGCGCTGAGCCGACAAACAGCTGATCAGCCATGCAAATTTAAATGAAGCGGCGATTATTTAATCGCCGCTTCATTTAAATTTACATGGCTGCCGCGCTGAGCCGACAAACAGCTGATCAGCCATGCAAATTTAAATGAAGCGGCGATTATTTAATCGCCGCTTCATTTAAATTTACATGGCTGCCGCGCTGAGCCGACAAACAGCTGATCAGCCATGCAAATTTAAATGAAGCGGCGATTATTTAATCGCCGCTTCATTTAAATTTACATGGCTGCCGCGCTGAGCCGACAAACAGCTGATCAGCCATGCAAATTTAAATGAAGCGGCGATTATTTAATCGCCGCTTCATTTCCCTTTGCCTACAACCCTCATCTACGTGGCTCCGTCGATGGAGCCATGTAGTCTAGACACAGCCGGTGAGTTGGTAGATACTGACACAGATACACTCCCTCTCAGGAGTGTCCTCTTTTTTGAAAGTTTAAATGCTGTAACCCTGCTGTGTAATGCTAACAGAACAGGCTCGTGTATATTATTCCTTTAAAAAGAGTAATGGACTTGGTATATTTTGCGTGTCCAGAAGAGGGTGGGGCAGTACAAACCATACATTTCTGAGGGAAAATCCAGGATTGGGAGCATATTGGGATCACCCTGCAGTAAAAACAAGACTGGGGAGAGCCAGGGCGTGGTTGTCAGGAGTGACCCGCAGGTTGGAAGGCTGCTGGCGAGCAGGCCAGGTGGGAGGCTACAGCAGCAAGGCATTGCCAGGCGACTCATGAGAGAATGTGGGCAGTCTGTGTGGGGGGGGGAGGGAGGGAGGGAGGCTCCCCACTCCCAGAAAGAGCAGGGCCTCGGGGGAAGGGGCGGGGCTGAGGCAGCCAGACCCTCAAAGTGCCCCCCTCCAGCTGGCCCTCGGAGCAGGGCTCTGAAGCGTGTGACACAGGGCTCCAGTGGCAATTCCAAAGGGCCGGGGGTTCCGGACGCTGTTGCTGCCCCAGTGGTGGCTGAGAGCTCTGGGCCCTTTAGAACTGCTGGGCCCCAGGGCAATTTCCCCATTTGCCTGCCCTCCTCCCCCGTTGATGGGCCTGGACACAGCCCCGCATTGGTCGGGATTGCACTCGGGTGTGTCACAATAGCCTGACTGATTTCCCACTGACTCAGGCTAATGTTACTCCATATTTGCATTGGGGTGAGGGGAGAAATGAGCCCCATAACTTCTGCTCCTTAGGAAAAAGTCACATACCTAGCTCCTTGACAAAATGCTTCATATGTAGGTTAAGAGGATGGATCACGCTTCCTCCTGCTTCATAGTCTTTTCCTTCCACGTTTACAGTAGCCAAACGGCCCCCAACTGTTCCTTTCTCAAACACGTCAATCCTTACGTCTTTCCCAAACTTCTGGCGGAGAAAATAGGCTGCTGATGTGCCCCCAATGCCAGCTCCAATAACAGCTGAAAAGAGAGTTTAAAAGGAAGTCATTCTCCCCACTTCCGTTAATCTCCACAGATATGTTGCAAGTTTCTGAATTCAGGAAGCCCTCATGCTAGTGTCAGCTGTGGCTCTCTTCCTTCAGGGCTCTCTCCATGGTTTGGACTGAGTTTTCATTTTGAGGGTAGAATTTTCAAGCGTGCCTAAGTGGCTTGTGCTCTTAAACCTCTTCTGTGGTTTTAAAAAGCCCACCCTCCATTTTTTTAAAACCAACCCTTCAGCTGAAAATGAACATGGGAGAAGCAGGAAACCTTTCCACAGGTCTGGTCTACACGAGAGAATTCATCAACTCAACTATGTCATTCACACATGTGAAAAATCCACACCCTTTACTGGTGCAGTTAAGCCAACCAACCCTCTCTGTAGACGTCACTAGACTGAGAGAACTCTTCTGTCAACTTACTTACCGTCTCTCACAGAGGTGGTTTACCTGCATCAATGAGAGCTCCCGGCCCACTAGTAAAAGTAGCATCTACAAGAAAGCCCTGCAGCGGGGCTGCTGTAGCATTTCAAGTGTAGACAAGCCAAAGGTTACAAATTACTCACATCCATGTGGCAACATGTATCCTGTACATGAGAGCACAGGGCTGCGTCATGTAGCTGGTTCGGTGTTCCAGGAACACTGGAAACTCCTGCTGCAGGGCAGGAGCTGCAGCATCAGTTAGTAATTCATCATCATCATTTGCGGTTACAAGACGCGGGACTTGCAAGCACTTGATGGACTTGGGCAAGTCATTAGGCCCAAATCCTCAAAGATATTTAGGCTGTTAACTTCCTGGACCTTACACTCTCTGTTTTTCAAGGTATCCCTAAAACACAGAGCATCTAAAAACACAGTCCCATAGAGCGATGGAGGCTACACTAAATAAGTATTGATAAGCATAAGACCCCTCAAATGAAGTTAGCTGTGTTGATAGAAATCCCCCTCTGCTAACAAAGCTTCCTCTAGACCAGAGTTATGTCAGCAGAACTGCACTGGTGAGGGATGTGTTTTTTCACACCCCTGACTGAAGGATCACTTTCCAGTGTGGACCCCGCTCAGGCCTGGTCTAGGCTTTTAGATCAGTGTAATGTCATCTCTCAGGGGTGTGAAAAAATCCTCCCAAGAGATGGTTGTAACAATCTCATCCAGCGCTGTGTCATTCTCCTGCCTCTCAGAGAGGTGGATTACCTATGCTGGCAGGCAAACCCAGGCAATCCCCTCCCATCATCATGAGCAGTGTCTACACGGAAGCCCTTCAGTGGAGCAGGTCCTGCAGTGTAGTTGCATTTTAAGTATAGACAAGGTCTCAGACTAGTCAGGAAGCCACACTTTGGTATGTTATAGGAGGCATTAGCATAATGCACACTTAACTATCCTCAGGTCCCTCTCTAAGGCCTGGTGTACACGAGCAAGTTAGATCAACTTAGCTACATTACTCAGAGGTGTGCAAAATTCTTCTCCTGAGAGATGTAATTAAACCTAAATCCCAGAATAGACAATGCCAGGTAGCAGCTAGTGCCTCTTGGGGATGTGGATTAACTACAGTGGTCAGGAGCGGCCCAAGGCTGGTTGCAGCAGCTGGTGCCCTAGGCGGGGTGGCACAATCAGCGCCCCTGCCTGCATGGCCATCAATGGCCGTGATGTCATCACGGGCCGCCCCTGACAGTGGTAAGAGAACTCTCCTGGCACTGTAATGTCTGCAACAACAATGGACAACTTAGGCTAGTGAGTGGGCTGATGAGTGGCCCTCCTCCATCTCCGTGGGCTGTATGGTTGTCATAACTCAGACAGTCTCCCAGGATAGGGAAGTTTTGCTAACTGTGCTTATGTACCGAGGATCTGTGGGATGCACCAACTGGACCGGAGCTACCCTCTGACTGGATGCAGAGGACATGCACAGCTCTCACTCAATGCACAATCAGTAAGAACCTTATTTCGCATGCCCTGGCTTTGCATGCATGTCCCTTTAGCAATACTGTACCGGTAGGGATAAAAAAGACGACGTAGATGGAAACCAGTTGGAATCTGGCAGCCTCATGTAAACAAAACGTCTTACAGGCCATGCACAGAACTGCAATGGGCGACATAGCCTTTGGCCATGGTTACTCACCGCTGGTCTACAGCAGTGCTGCAACGGTGCCACTGTTATGTTTTAAGTGCACACACAGCCTCAGTCCCTGCCACAGGCAATCCCACCAATATTCAAATGAGTCAGTAAGGCTCCATAATTTCATGTTGGACGTGCACAATTACCTCTTGGCCTGTGCTGTCTTGCTCCTTCAGCAGTAATCACCTGCACCAGCATAAACCCATGCAACGTGGGTATAAAACACTACCACGCCAGAAGGATAGTATGTTCCGTCACCTGGCACTGGGGCAAAGGAGCGCACAAAGTGCAAGGCACCAGAGAAACAAGACTTGT